CAGTAGTATTGCATTGAGATTAAAGTGGAATAAAGCAAATAAGCAAATGTGTGTTGCTCATAATTAGTATTTTTGGTGTGAGTGAAAAGAGAGAATATCGCTGAAACTAAAAAAATGCCTTATCATTCTGAATGTAAATCTTTGAATTGGAGTTATCACTGTGAATTAATAATGTATCTAATCTTAAAAAAATAGAGTTCTAGTACTATCCACTGAAAAGGCCTAGAAACAATGACAAATCCAGTAGTATAGACTGTGGACTCTAAATACCATTTCCTAATACAAGGAACCTGGCATCCTAGGAAAACAGATCTGGGACAGGAAATGTACAGGTTAAGATAGGGACTTTGTGGTAAATGAGAAATCAAAAAAGCCATCCAAAATTACTAGGGTTGTGTGAAAAAGACTCAGTTCTCTCTAAAGATGAGACAATTTATGCATAAATGGGAATAATAAGTTGCAAGAGATAGAAAAATATCAAATATATATATATATGTGTGTGTGTATATATATATATGTGTGTATATATATATATATATATACAGTTTTTTTTTTGAGATGGAGTTTTGCTCTCATCGCCCAGGCTAGAGGGCGATGGCACAATCTTGGCTCACTGCAATCTCTGCCTCCTGGGTTCAAGCAATCCTCCTGCCTCAGCCTCCTGAGTAGCTGGGACTCCAGGCATGCGCCACCATGCCCAGCTAATTTTCTGTATTCTCACGCCTGCAATCCCAGCACTTTGGGCGGATCATGAGGTCAGGAGTTCAAGACCAGCCTGGCCAACATGGTGAAACCTTGTATCCACTAAAAATACAAAAATTAGCCCCGCATGGTGGCGCATGTCTGTAATCCTAGCTATTGGGGAGGCTGAGGCAGGAGAATTGCTTGAACCCGGGAGAATGAGGTTGCAGTTAACCGAGATCGTGCCATTGCACTCCAGCCTGGTTGAAAGGAGCAAGACTGTCTCAAATAATAATAATAATAATAATAATAATAATAATAATAATAGAACTCTAAACACTGGATGGATATTTGGTTATTTTGAAGAAGTATATATATTTTTTACATGTGATAGTGAAAATTTTTAAGTGAATATCTTTTAGACACATATACCAAAATATTTATAAATAAAATGTAATTTCCAGAACTCACTTAAAAATAATCTAGAAGTAGAGGGAAAAGGAAGGTGTCATGGAAGGAAGTGAATGGAAGTATAAAGGAAACCAGATTGACCCTGAGTTGATAACTACTGCAACTAGATGACAGATACTTGGGTGTTTGTTATATTATTCTACTCTTGTATAAGGTTGAAATCTGTCATAATAAAAAGTTAAGATTTTATCTAAAGGTAGACCTTCATTGAAATGAATCAACTTCAACATCTCTCTTCAACCACTAATACAGGTAATCGCCACTTCAGAGCAACATAAACAGGAGACATAAAACGAGACAAAAGACTGAAAGTAACTGGAAAACAACACAGCACACATAATCACCCCCAAACACAACCACCATCACCAACCAGATGTGCCCACAGATACTGCAAATTTCCATTAAATGTTGGCATACAGATTCTTACTATTAGAAAACATTTGTGAATTATAGATAACAATCTTGAGGCATTTTGAAGAACCATAATGTATAGTTTCAAATTTTAATGTCTGAAAAGTGAGGTATTGTATTTTGATGTATGTCTACACCAGAAAATAACTGAGATTTTAAATTAAATTTTGTCTCTTACAGGGAAAGGTAGGATAATATTGTTACAATAAATTGGTACTTTAGAAACCTAAGGAAATGATCCATATTTCAAGGGAGTTCAGCATATTTAGACTTTCACCAAGTTCCACCAAGTTGCCATTTTGTGACATGTATGAGTTCACCATGTTATAGTCATTCCCCCGCCAAAACAAGTATTTTCTTTAAATACATCGATCATAAAGTATTCTGGCTATTAATAACTATCCATGGGCCAGGCGCGGTGGCTCACGCCTATAATCCCAGCACTTTGGGAGGCTGAGGCAGGCGGATCACAAGGTCAGGAGATTGAGACCTTCCTGGCTAACACGGTGAAACCCCATCTCTACTCTCTACTAAAAAACAGAAAAAATTAGCCGGGCGTGGTGGCTGGCGCCTGTAGTCCCAGCTACTTGGGAGGCTGAGGCAGGAGAATGGCCTGAACCCAGGAGGCTGAGCTTGCAGTGAGCCGACATTGAGCCACTGCACTCTAGCCTGGGTGACAGAACAAGACTCTTTCTCACAAAAACAAAAACAAAAATAAAAAAACTATCCATTGAATGCTTAAGTGTCAGTTACTCTGCTAAATATCATTGCTTGATTTAATCCTTTTAAATCAAGGTTATACCCCAATGGTAGATATAATCCTCACATTACAAATTAAGAAACTAAGGCTGCAAGTAAATTGCCCCAGATGAAATAATAAACATATTGATTCCTACTGGTTAACAATAGGTCAGTTTTTATCAAATGCTTGGCAATATGTGAAAGTTTATACACGTTATTTCAAACCTCTCAAAATTATGAGACAGTCATTTAACCAGGAGGGCATTCTCATCCTAAGTTTCAAGGAATTTGCTAAAAGGTCATGTGTAATAATGGGAAAGCCAGGATTTGAACACTGATCTGACTCCAAAGCTCATGTCTTTAGCCAGTACATTTAACATCCTCCTAAACTAGCTTCCTGTACAGGTATTCCCTTATTTTTAATATGCACGAACAGAATTGGATACATACTCTGGCTGTGTTTTGTTGAGACTATTACTTCTGATCTTCATAGATTTTAATATTAACATTATGATTCTGCATTGGCACTTTATATTGGTTCATATTAAGGCTTAGACACTCTAGTATTCCATAACACCAGGATCTATTTCCAGAATGTTCTGCCAAATTTAGACCTTAAAGGTAAAATTCCAGCTTCAAATGATGGTGTACTCAAGATTCTCAATTGCATCAGCTGAATGCTGTTTTACATCATCTAAAGTTTGATAAAACATTTTTTTTTGCATCTTTATTATCGCTGATGAAATCACTGTTTACATTACAGAGGAAATTGTTATGTTAAATAGAACCTTGAAATACCAAAGATTTCCTTCAACATCACCATGAAGTATTAATGGAACAATCCTTGTGTCAAATGCCTTGTACAGGCTGGGCATGGTGGCTAATTTCTGTAATCCCAGCACTGTGGGAGGCTGAGGCAGGAGGATCACCTGAGGTCAGGAGTTTGAGAACAGCTTGGCCAACATGGTGAAACCCCCTCTATTAAAAATAAAAATTAGCTGGGCGTGATGGTGTACCTGTAATCTCAGCTGCTTGGGAAGCTAAGACAGGAGAATCACTTGAACACAGGAGGCAGAGGTTGTAGTGAGCTAAGATTGTGCCACCACACTACAGCCTGGGCAAGAGAGCAAGACTCCGTCTCAAAAAGAAAAAAAAATTGCCTTGTACAAACAAAGTCTATGCCTTTCCCTCTGTTCATGAACCATCATTCATTTACAGACTAGTAATTCTTCTTATACATATATTAATAACTTCATTTATTGTCTCCCAATATTTAATTCATTTTTCCATGATTAAGTCTTAGTAAACTTCTGATGGTTTAAGAACACCATTTATAAACCATTTTAAGAACTCTGCACATTTTTAAAATTAATTATCTTTATCAAAAGGTTTTTTCTTAAACTTTGTTCTTTGATATTAATTTGGATTCAGTTGAGCAGTCCTTAATATTTTGTATTAAACCAAGTAACTTCAAATACAAGAAAATATTTTAGAAATATGCACTAGAAAAGGTGCACCATAATAGAAAACTAGATATAAAAGCATAGTCTAAACTCTTCAGGATTTAAAGACTCATTATCCTATGGTGCTACTAACTAGAATAGGGGGTAGGGAACTTGAACTTAGCATGCTAGAAAATCTTATGATGGGTTTTATAGCTGAAATTGTCTTCTATAAATCAGTTTGTACAGTGTTCATGCCATTTTGTCTTTGTTTTTGCCCATTAAATATGAAAAACTTAGATAACATTAATTTGCTTACGTTCTTAGGCTACAAAGGGTCAACACACAAGCTTTTGAAATAGTTAAAAACAGCACTATTTTATATAGTAGGTAGACAGAAAGTACAGGCAAACTGAAAAATCTAATTGATACACTGATTTTTTTTTTTCCAGCAAGCTTTATTAATCCATCATGGATCTACTCATGTTTGCAGCAGATACCATGATTTCATTACCAGTGAAGGGAGAAAAAAAAAAGAAAAAAGAAAATAGCCTTCAATGCCTGTCACATCTAAGCAGATCTAAACTACTATGGGACTAAACAGCCTAGCTGGTCAGTTGTTATTTCACATCTAATTAAAAGCTTCAGCAAAAGTGGAAATACATTAAAATTCAAAATCTAATACTGTTCTCCTAGTGCCTCAAGTAGTTTATTGGTAGTAATTATCCACATTTCTATAAACATTCTAAGTGACCATCACTAGTGCAGGAATATTTAACATATGAAGTCTCCACATGAAGCTACTTCATTCATTTTGTGTGACACAAGAATCAAGGTTCCAAACACTCAGTTATGCCACTAAAAAAAAAAAAAAACAAAAAACAAAAAACAAAGCCAAAACAAATCCTGCTAGCAAAATGCATTTCTTTCAGTGATTTTTCAGAACCAACAGCTGTTGCTTTAGACATAAAAAATAAGCTGATTTAGTAATATATGGTCACTGGAAGTAAGTCTCTATCTGTAGATAAGAATTAGATAAACGTCTTTCCTCCTTATAGAGCTTTTTATCCAATGTAAACAGCACCACTGAATTTTCATAAAACAGGTTTGTTACTTTCCCCTCATTTTCTATAATTGTAATTCTTATCTGCCATACTGTTACCATTTCTTCCTCTCTATAATCAGGACTGGACAGCCCATGTAATACTGTTCAATTTGTAAACAAAAAAATTAAAGCTCAGAACACATACAGGGTATCTTTTACATTTTCATTCTACAGCGCATCTTTTACATTTTCAGTCTACAGCGCATCAGGTATATTTATAAAGCTTTTGCTCTTCCCAACACACTACAAAAATATATAAAAACCACATTTGTTTTCAGCCAGCAAATATTAATAAAGCAAATATCTCATAACTGGAATATTTTAGAGACCACATATTTTAATTACATCCTCTTGACTAAATCATTAATTTCCTTCTTCATAAATCCATATATGTATCCAGTGCATATTTATTAGTTTACATGCCCATATTTACTATGAATGAGTCAATTATTTTAGGTTCTTCAAGAGAAAGTGCTTCTGACAACAAACTATTTCTATAATAGCCCTAAATCCCCCAAAAAGTTGTTTTAAACCTGTGTAGAACGATGCATAGCTATTTCTAAAAAGTAAGACTACACACCAAAACATGCTTTGTCAGGAAAACTAATCCATGCACTTGAATACACCCCAAATATCTTATTTTTATTAAAGGCAGACCAACTTAAACATTGTCTAGAATTAAGCTATACCATTAAATTACTTGATTCCAGAAAGCGTCAAAAATCATTTGGCCAAAACTTAAAAAATACTCCTTGTTCCTTACTTCAAAAAAGGACTGGTTGGACCAATGTGATCAGTATAACTGCATATATGTTAATCTACCTTAACATTTCCATCGATTAGCACTTGATCATTACAAAGCCTTGTATGCAGTTTTCTTGCAAAGGCTTCCCCCGCAAAAAGATATAAGCACAAAACACTAGGCAGACACTCTTGAAAGTTTTATTTCACTAACTTCAGGCCAAATTTCCACAACTGTGTTCTGGTCAATTTCCTATCCTTGCTTGGCTTCCCCAAATGCTAGTACCAAAAGATTTGTGGGGTAGGGAGAAGAGACCACTTTAAGAAGCACTGCATTTACTCATCTTCCACAAGGCAACAGAGTTGGGCATCTGATTGTTCAACAAAACAAAGCTTTAATAGCATCCAGGAGGGCAGACAGGCAAACCAGGTTGTAGACACTCTTCTATTTGTCAAAATCAGACCAGAGAAAACCTACTCCACACAGATATAATAGGTATTGATATTCATCTTTTCTTTTTCTGTTGCCGCAACATTTTTCTTCTTTTAATGATCATATCATGTAGTTTCTCAAGTCCTTCCTTTAGGCCATCTCCTATGATTGCACAGGTAGGCTGCAAATGCCAAGGAGTTGATGAGCTCAGTTCACCCATTGCTAACAATTTCTCAATTTCTGAAAGAGACAATGAGTTCCTCAAGTCTTGTTTGTTAGCAACTATAAGTACAGGGACTCCTTGATTTTCTGATATCCTAGTTATTTTGTGAAGTTCAGTTTTGGCTTCCTCCATCCTTTCGACATCAACAGAGTCCACAACAAATACAATGCCATCTGTGCATCTGGTATATGACTTCCACAGTGGCCTTAACTTCTCCTGACCACCTACATCCCAGAAGTGAAACGTGACTGTTTTAGAATTTCCCAAGGTTACCTTAATTTTCTCAGTGTTAAATCCTTTGGTAGGTACGGTATTTACAAATTCATTGAACTGCAGCCTGTATAAGACAGTTGTCTTTCCAGCACAGTCCAAACCCAGAATAACAATGTGGAAGGACTGAAATGAAGGCAGGCTGGACAGGATAGAAGTCTGGTCTGATAGCCCATTCCCCATTTCCAGGTGCAAATAAATGTCCCAAATTGAAGTGCTTTTCTCTTCTCGCTTTAGAACTTCTCTTGGTAGCTGATTCAGCTATAAGACTGCTGGGAGAGGGAAGAAATAATAAGTTATTCTCCTGAAATAATACATTAAAACAGGTTTTCTCTACTTTGCTAAAATAAACAACACGAAGAACTTACAACAACTTGCTTCGCTAAACCAGACGAGATATGAAACGTACATGAAAACACACACAATTCAAGACAAACGATGGAATAACAGTGATTGAAATTATCTGGTTTACTTAAATTGCAGTAATATGTACGTTTTTCTCCTGGGCCCCCAAACCTCAAAGACCTCATTCTGGAAAGAACCCAGTTAACAGTATGTGGTCTAAGTGGCCATAACCACAAAGTGCCTATTTGGCAGAAAACTCATAAGCAGATAGTCCTATCTTGGGAATCTAATTCCACATACTTAACAGCATACCCAAGATCACTATTACCTCCTAACCCTTCCAAAATAACAACGTTCTCACCTCCCGATCCGGAGTCTGGGTCCAAATGAGAAAGCATTGGCAAGCGTTTCCACGCAGGGATAAGCACCCCCACGTCTTTCCAGCTTAGCTCTCCAAGCAGCTCTGGCAGTTATCGCACTAGAAACCTTGGACTCAGACTCCGACCACGCCCACTCCTCCCGGTCCACCCATGATCCCAAATCCCATTGGTCACCCGCATCAGGGTAGCCATGCAACTCCCGCCCCCGCTCCGTAATTGGTGAGGGTAACTGCCACTCCCAGCACGGCGGAGCTGGGCTCTCTCGCGGTCCACCGGCACCACCTGTTGCCCTTAAGTTAGAAAAGGCGGCGTTCTCGGAGGGAGCCGAGCAGCCGCTGCAGGTGAAGGGGAGCCTCGGGCGGTCAGGTCACCGCCAGGCTGCCGGCTCCGTTCGGCCCGGCGCACCTGCAGCGCAGCCAGGGCGCCAAGCTGAGGCTCTCACATCCGGGGCCCGCAGTCACCGCCAACGCGTTAACCCTTTGTCCGCAGGCCCGAGGGTGCCGGCTGTGACCGCGCGGGCCCCTGAGGTGCTAGAGATGAGACCTGGCGCGCCCGCTAGGGTAAGCCCACCTTCCCCGGAGCGGGATCCCTTCACCCTGCCCCTCCGCACACAATCGGCTCTTCTCCCTCGACAGGGCGTGGCCGCCGCGGCAGCCCACCCAGCCGCAGCTCACCTGACTAACCGTCCTTCCTTCGCTTCACTCAACGTTTCTCCCAGCCGCTGGGGAGGCGCGCTGATACCTGTTCCCTGGCACCAGGAAGGCGTGGGCGATGGCGGAGGACTGGGCGCCTGGCGGGCGCCGCGCGCCAGGCTGCCCTAACGGTGCTCGCCCAGCAGCTCCACGCGACAGTCCCCGCCCCCTCCCGCGCGCCGCCCGGGCGCCGGCCTGTTGGGGGCGCGCAGGAGCCGCGTCTCCTAGCAACGCCAAAACAAGGTCGAGTTCGAATCGGCCTAGCGCTGGCTGCCCGCGAGGTCGGATGGGACTTCCGGCCTCACCCCTGAGCGGTTGCTCCCGGTATCCCTGTCTGTGGCGGCCCGCCAGCCTGGCACGATTCCCCACCCCCCCCCGGCACGGCCTTGGGGCGCCTAGGGCATCTGCGGGGCAGCCGCCAAGTGATGCGAGGTTAGGGATTCCGTAGTTCACGGGTTACGGGTGGTCCCGTATATATCGAGGTGACGTGGAGGTCCCCAAGTAGTTGGTCTTAAGCGGCCTGGGTTGGCTGGGCTGGTAACTGTGCCTGCCTTCGCTTTTTGTAGAGCAAGTGAACGCGCTCTCTCACGTGGTTCTAGCAGCATCCCTGGGAGCTGGCGACAGATAGAAATATTCCAGTTTGACACATAAGGAAATACACTCTGAAAGATGAAAGATGTTTCTTTTTTTCTTTTTCTTTCAAATTGCTCACGCAATTTTAATTGCGATAATTTCCGATATACCATTCAACTAAACAATTTGCATATGCTGTAGTGAGACATGGGAGTAAGAGTATTTTGCTTGAGTGTCCAGTTCTCTTTAAAACCAGCGTTTGCAGTTAACGACTTGGAAAATACAACACAAAAAGCCATCTAGCCTTTTTAAAAAATCTCTATCTATCCCTTCAAAATTCCCTTTGTGGCCATATACATACTAGGTGGCTCTACCTGCAGAAAGCTGCATTTTCCAAGCAGCGAGAGAGTTTAATCCTTAACTTTCCTGTACTCCTGCCTCTGCTGGCTCCTTTGCATTTTTGTTTGCATCCTCTTCTTTGTCTTCTGTGCCTTTCGTTCTAGGTTAATCTGAGCAAGCTCTTCACTTTTGTCTGTGATATATTTTAGCAGTGAATTACTCCTTCTGGCTAAGAGCTTCACATCTTCAGTGTTAATGGTGGTTCTTTTCGCATGTCTTGCACACATTTCTAGATCTTGCACTGTCGAAAAGTTAGCTCCAAAATTGCTGCAATGATAAGTTTGCTGAACTGCATCTCTGCCCAATGCCACTTCCTCGCAAAGACAACCCACAGTGTAGTGCACTACTGCTTCCTTGGGCCTCTGTTGGTAAGAAAATGGCTAAGAAAATCCCTGCTGCTCTTCCGCCTCCATTTCCTCCTTCATCAGAACGGGGAGGCAAACGCACGGAAAGGAAAGAGGCTGTGGGGCAGCGGCCAGATTGGATTTTCCCTCCGCAGCCCTAAAGGGATGTTTCTAATGACCCAAGGAAAATTAGCGGTGGTCCTGAAACTGTTCATCTAAGTCTACTAGTCATCAAATGCAAAATGCTTTTCACTGGATGATTCTGACTAAATGTAGTTTTGTCTTTGATCAATAAGTTCACAAATATTTATTGAACACCTAATAGGCTGTAGACACAATTCTGTGTGCTTGGGGATAAAATGGTGAGCAAAACACACTGTCCCTGCCCTTGTGGAATATTGGAGTCTCTATGGATGAATAAATTTATAAAATGTTTTCAGCGGTAATTTCAGGGTTCTTATGACAACTTGCAAAAGAAGTAATGACTTAAAGTTGTAGGAAAGCTTTAGTCGACAAAACATCCTTTTGGTGAAGGCTGTAAGATTGTAACTTGGAAGAACCTATATGGTACACTTTTTTAAAATTGTCCTTTTTTTCTTTTTAAATATAGATTGGAGTTTCCTCAAGAAATATCATAGTTTTTCTCAAGACCACTATTGCCAGTGATATGTATTTCTTTTATGACTAGCACAGGAACGTGCATACTTGTCATACTGGATTCTTAAAGTCGAAAACAGCCTGGCCAAAGTGGGGAAACCCCACCTCTACGAAAAATACAAAAAATTAGCCGGGCGTGGTGGCAGGCGCCTGTAATCACAGCTACTCAGGAGGCTGAAGCAGGAGAATCACTTGAATCTGGGAGGCGGAGGTTGCAGTGAGCCGAGATCGCGCCATTGCACTCCAGCCTGTGCAACATGAGCGAAACTCTGTCTCAAAACAAACAAACAAACAAAAAAAAAAAAAGAAAAAAGCAACGTAAAATCCTAAGTTCTAAGCACAATGCATAATTTCAAGACAGCCACACTAATTTTGGGAATAAAACCTAGAAACATCAAATGGCATATTCAATTAATTATATTGATCTATTATAAACTATAATTAATCTATTATAAACTAAGGATTGCCTGATTATTTATAATTGTGAAATCTCATTAGCCATTCACATAATCAGCAAATAATTGATAAAGGGCTTAGTGCAATACCCTATTTCCTTTTCTTGGAAATTCAACAGGGATTCTTTATTAAACTGGAATAACTTGCAGATCCTCCTTAAGTCAAGAATTTAGAGCAAGAAAATTCTATGGCCACCCGCTGTTTACAGTAGTTTTGAAACCAGTAGGCCCTTCCAGTATTCCTTGCATAGTCTTCCCTGGAGCAAAAAGGGGAAAAAGGAAAACAAAAACACTGAGGGCTTCTAATCTTGCAGAATCACCCTCAGTGAATTGCACTTTCATGTTATACTCTAGGTTTTAAAACTACAGTAGTCGTTGGCAAACTGCAGCCTATAGGTCAAATTCAGGAGGTAAGAATGGTTTTTACATGTTTAAAGGCTGGAAGAGAATGGATAAGAAAAGAATATGCAATCAAGATAATCTGTGCCCCCTCCCCCCAACAACACACACATACAAAATAAATGTGCTCTCTGCTTCTGTAGAAAAATGTTTGGTATGCCTGTTCTCTCTCTCTCTCTCTCTCTCTCTCTCTCTCTCTCTATATATATATATATATAAACCATATGAAAACAACAACAAATGATACTAAAAGCAATAGAATTTGTGGAACACAAAGTTCACTTTGTTTCATGATCTTATAGAAGACCCATTCAGAGATTTTACTTATATTCTATGCCAGAAAAAAATCCCTTTAGGCTGTAGCTTGTAAACAGTGCTTCAGTGCCCTGGGGTGCCTCGGAATTCCTAGGGGTTCTGTGGGATAGTTTAACTTTTTGAGGGAAACACAGTGACATCTGTTGGACCATATTAATAACTACAAATATCAAGTTTGGATCTATCAATTTCATAAATAGAAAGGTTGGGTATTTATTTTAGCTTGAGGTACCATTAAAAAATTACTGAGGCACTAGGGCTTCTGGGAACCTTGCCTTTAATTATGGTTTTCCAAACTTGGCCAATGATGAGAAAGAATCACCTGTTAATGCTTGTAAATGTATAGATTCCTGGTTCCTCCTGTTTCAGACCCCCCAAATCAGAATCATCAGGAGAGGAGTCAGTGATCTGTATTTTAAGTAAGTATTTCAGATAATTAATGATTAGACACTTAGAAGAAATACTAATCATAAGAAATGGGTAAGTTTTCTCCTTTTAAATAACTACAACTGAGTACTTTGATTCTCTTTTTGAATTAAATATCAGGACCCATATCAAATCTGATGCCTGTGTTCTCACTTTTAAGTAGAAGCTAAACAATGGATACACATAGACATATAGAGTGGAATCATAGACATTGGTGACTTCAAAAGGTGAAACGGTGGGAGAAGGGTGAGGGATGAAATACTACCTATTGGGTACGGTGTACACTATTTGGGTGATGGGTACACTAAATGCCCAGACTTCACTACTACACGATATATCCATGTAACACAACTGCACTTATACCCCCCGAATCTATGAAAATAATAATTAAAAATCAGATGCATGTGGCATTCTTCTTCTCTTCCATAGCCTGATTTTTTATGATAGACATAAGTTAAGCATGTACATACTGAAATAGTGTCTTTCCTTACCTTTGTCACAGCATGTGTATGTGTGTGTATGTGTATAGATAATATAGATGTATATGTTTAGGGTACCTCACTTTAGTAGTTTCCATGCATATTTATTATGAGAATAATAGAGAATTTATTAGAGAATTATTGAGAGGGATATAAACATTGATTCCCTTGTATCACTTTATTATCATCCTTGCTAAACACATGGCCTTCCTCTCTTAGTTCCTGTTTTGGTTGACGGCAGTTTATTCAGTAGTCCCAAGTGGAAATTTCAGGGCCATGTAAAAAATTCTCCTATATCCCACTTATGATTAGCTATCAAGCTCCCTTTAGTTCATGTTTTTCCGTTCCTATTTCCACTACTTGCATCTGGTTTTTGTGACCTCTCACCTATACTAATTTACCTCCTAACTGATTTTTCAGCTAAAAAGCAGTGGAGCAGGAGTTTGTTTCCTGTGTCTGGCTCCAAGTCTCTTAACAACTGTATTCTAGGGAGTTCACAATTAGGGTAATTCATTTTGATCCATGGCAGCATAGAGCCAGGGTACAATTTTTGATAAAACTTTAAAAAGAGGATGTCGGAAGGGAAGTACAACCCAAAATTCACTAGAAATGGGTCCTAGATAAGAGTTTTCAGAGTCCACAAGTCTAAACCCTCCTCCTGAACTTCTTTTATGGACAGCTTCAAGGCCTAGCTCCACCCAGTTCCAAGTCACAGGACAGTTTGCCCCTTCCTCTGGAAAAGCCTTCACATGCCTCTCCATACCTGAGTGCAGGTCCAACTGCCAAGAAGCCCAGTGGTAAAAAGGCATCATGCCACACTACAAGAGGCAGATCCAAAGTTAAGAAATAGGGACCTAGAAAGTGAGTCTTGTGTAGTGTGGCATGATGCCTTTTTACCACTGGGCCTCAGAAGTCAAAGCATAAGGAGTGAGATGTGAAAGGAAAGCAGCTTTTTTTTCAAATGCTGACAGGTGGAAGAATGGCTGGGCTCAGGCCTCAAAGGAGCCATCTCTAGCTTTAGGCTGGGGAAAGGAGTTTTAAAAGGGGAACTTGGAATGGAGGCATGTGGGAGTGGTGCTGGGTACAAGGTCTATGTGTCTTGTTCTGGTGGCTGTCTTGAGTCATGGTCTACCTGGAGTGCAGGTTGGCATCAGAGTCTCAACAATGGCCAGGTTGTAGATTAACCACCTTGAGGTGATCTCTGGAATTTCACAACTGGGTCTTTGTGTCTAGTTTGTCTTAAGATTAGGCCCTGGGGCTGGGGCTGGTGGCTCACGCCTGTAATCCCAGCACTTTGGGAGGCCAAGGCGGACAGATCATTTGAGGTCAGGAGTTTGAGACTAGCCTGGCCAACATGGTGAAACCCCGCCTCTAATAAAAATACAAAAATTAGCCAGGTGAGGTGGTGGGCACCTACAATTCCAGCTACTCAAGAGGCTCAGGTGGCAGAATCCCTTGAACTCTGGAGGTGGAGGCTGCAGTGAGTTGAGACCATGCCACTGCACTCCAGCCTGGGCAACAGAGTGAGACTGTCTCAAAACAAACAACAACAAAAAACTTTAGCCCCTGCAACTTCTAAGTAAGCACATAATTAGATAAGTGTCTGGTGGGAAGGGCCCAGAGACAGAGTTTTAAAGTATGTTTTAAGGCTAAAAGCAGGAAAGGAAAAAAGTTTCAATATACATTTTGAAGCTAAACAACTTGGTTACACTGGGATGACTGACAGAACATCCAGTCCAACAGGGCCTCAATAGGGGCCACATCAGAACAAATGAGTCCTAATTCTTTCCAGCTTTAACTAATATTGTGTGTTATATTTTATTTCTACAGTCCAGATCTGTGCACACTTTTGTACATTTCTGTCTTCTTCCACTAACATTTTAATCCTCTCTGTCACAAGTTTCCATGGCCTCTTGTTAGAGTACTCCAAGGCTCCTTAGGTCTTTATACTTTTTCCTTACGTAATTTTATCCAATACCAGGGATTTAAACAATCTGTATTCTCCCAAATTTTTCTCAACATAGACATCTTTCCTGAACTCTACAAATGAATGGCAGATAAGCATCTCAGCCCCTAAACCTGTTCTTTTCACTCAATATTTATCTCATTCATTAGAACTCAATATATCTACATCCTCATACATCATACATGACCCCTCAGCAAGTCCTCTTGACACACATATTCAAACCTGACCACTTCTCACCACCACCACTGCTCTGTCTCTGCTGCCCATCAAATTCCAGAGCCTCTCATGTAGTCTCTGTGCTTCCGAGGGTAAGCTCTTTCTGAGGCTTCAATATCACCTCCTCAGAGAGGCCTTCCCTGAACACCTTATTTAAGGTATCTGCCTTGAACCCTTCTCTCCACCAGAACTCTCTATTCCTTACTCTGCTTTTGTTTTTCTTCTTTGCACTTGTTACTACCTGACATGATTCATATCTGTCTATTGTGTTGGTTCTCTAACTGTCCCCCCTCTTATTTCCTATTGTAAGTTCCAGGAAGCAAGGATGTCAATTTTGTGTGCTACCTTATCCCCCGTATCTACAGTGATGTGTGTGTGTGGCACACAGTAAGAATTCAGTGGATTTATTGAATGAATGCTTATTATCCTAAGAATAACTACTCAAACAAGAATCCACAGACCTCCACAAAAAAAGGATAGTTTTTTTTTTTTTTTTTTTTTTTTCTGAGATAGAGTTT